AAGGTTTTTTTCATCGGCATGTCTTCGCCGCACATTTGTCTTAAAAATTACAATTATGATCGGCTGTGGAACCACGAGAATAAAGCTTTGAAACCATATGTCATTTTTGGAAAAATTGAAAAAAATAATGTTTTTATGAAAATTAATTTGTCAATATGAGGTTTGAGAACATAAATTTGTAGGCAAACCATTCCTGGATTTAAAAGTTGCTTGTTCTAATGAATTTAAATATAGCAATGTTAATAATCTAAAACCAGTTATCATTATTGAAGTTTGAAAGCTTTATTCTCGTGGTTCCACACCCGAATATACTTGTAATTTTCGAGACAAAAGTGAGGCGAAGATATGCCCATCAAAAAAATCTCTTCTGCTCTACCAAATATTATTCAAAAAGGAGTGGATGCTGAAACATTCCAGGAAAATGATTCAGACAATCGAATTCTAGCAGATTCCTGTTGGATCCGATCAGATTATGTTGAAATTTCTATAAGATCGACGAAATTCTATGGGAATCTAGGTTATGGAATGACATTCGGATTCCGAGTGTTGAATCTGATCCGATCTTACTATTGAAATCCGATTGAATCCCAGCGTACGACTCTGACCGACCTCTACTGTTGGGATAAGGTACTAATTAGCACTCAACTAATAGAATAAGACTCGCTCGTTGGATCCGTTAGTGATTTCGTAACCCGAATTTCTATAGGATTTTGTTGGCTGGCCGGATCCAATATTGGATTCATTCACCTGGGATAGACTAAATTAATTTAGAATTCATACGATATTTGTTTAAAACTATTGTAAAATAAAAACAATTTGGTTAGTATGTTAACTTTCTCTTTTTTTTTAATTTCTTCTGTTCATCAAAAAAAATTTCAATTTTGTCTAGTCAAAATTGAAATTTTAATTTTGACTGAGATTATATTGGGCAAAAATAAAATTTCAATTTTACCTGGACGAAATTAAAATTTCAATTTTGACCAGGCAAATTTTAAAGTTGACTGAATTTTAATTTTGACCACAACATATATATATAGATTTTTTTTCTCTTTATAAACTGTGTTTACAATTGTCTTGTTTTTTTTTATTGTATTATTTCGTATTATGTTAGTGTATTTTTATCTGATTTTCTTTTACAAGACTGCGAAGATAATGTTCATCTAAGTCTTTCTCTCTTATTATGATAAATAAAGCAATATCCATACCTATATAATAATTCATTGTTGTTTGTCTGTCAATCTGTTATCAGGTTAAAAGTCACAGGACAAACACTACTAGAATTTTTTAGAACTGTTCAAAACGATATAGAGTTAACAAGATTGTAGACTGTTCTGGAACTATCTAGGGTGCACTGGAATTTTCTAGAACTTTTCAGAACGGTATAAGGTTAACTAGAATTTCAGAATGTTCCTGAGTTTTCTAGAATATTCTGGAATTCTCTAGAACTATCCTGTGCGGTGTGGGTGCGTAAGGGAGGCACACACCAGCATCCAGAGTCACACTCACAGCGCCCAATCCGAAGCGAAGCCATGGGTCTATTGCTAATACTACTATATTAGTCGCAATATATTGCATTAAATATGAAAGGAAAGTAATGGACAACTATCATACTAATCTCGCAGCTATGTTTGTGACGGTAGAGAGTCGTTGCTAAGGTATCTGTTACGACTGACATTGGCATATTAATGAAACCTCTGTTTCCTTATCCAAAAAAAAAATTTCTTTTTTTGATTTCGAGATTTTCATTTCTAAAAATGTATTGAAGTGCCGTAAAAATTAGAACTGTACCAAGCTGTATAAGTCCTGAAAAAGCTTAGTTCCAAGTATTCCTAACGGATGGCGCAAAATAAAATGGTCACTTTTGTTCTATGTTTTTGAGGCACTTCACAGTAGCCCAAGGAGTTGGTTCTAGACTCATTCGATAGAGAATTTTCTGCTCTACAAAATCTGTCATTTTTTTTTCATTGTGTTAAAGAATAGTACAGAATAAGGACAGGTAAAAAGTGAAACTGCGATTTCATATCAAAATTTTGATGACTTTTTGGCTTTTGCATAGCTTTTCGAGAAATAATATTGTAATTGAGAGAAGAAGGTACTATAAAAATGTTCAGTGAATTGAGTGCTATCATTCAGATTGCATTTCGTCATCCAAATTATGGAAATTTCAGTGCACAAGTTAATTAGTAAGGTGCGCGTAATGCAAAATTCGAGCAGAAAACAAATCTAGA